AGGCGAACATGTTCCAAGGCGCCCAAGGCACATGCATCCTCCGAGGCAGGCGTCTAGGCTGGCCAAGGTGCTCACTTAGTGGCACCCTTAGAAAACAAGAACAAAGAAAAAAAAAGAAGCAAGTCATCTTAAAAAGAGAGAGTTAAAGGTGTATTTAAATGTCTCTCTCTCTCTCTCTCACACACACACACACACATATACACACTCATTGGCCCATGTTCTCCCTCTCTACATATAAGAAGAAGAAGAACAAGAAGCAATGTTCCAAAAAATGGAAAGTGGCGCCTTGGCGTCCTAGGGATTACCGGCCTCCAAATTTCTAGGAGGCCCAGGTAGAAGAATAGGGGTGGGAGGTGTCTGAAAAAATTATTTTAGATCCAAATTGCATGTAAAAAATGCATATTGATGCATTTTTTATACATTTTTTATGTTCAATTAAATCCAAACTCCAAAGACAAACCCAAAGTATTTGAGATTTGAACCATTAGTTAATAACACATTAAGAAAAATAGGAAAATAATGCCCAACATGCAAATTCAGTACTAGACTACTAGTAGACTGGACTACTAGTACTAAGTACTAACACAATCACAAGAAACTATTATAATCCAAACCAAAAGGATGATGTTTGGATCAAATTTTCAAAATTTTGAATTAACTTATCAATCTAATAAGAAGGCCAAAATGTGTATTTTTTTTTGCTTTTTTTTTGCACTCTAATATGTAAAAAGAAAGGTTCATGACACATAAAAACCTAAACTCCCCCCCTTCCCCCTTATTTAGGGGGGAGAGCACAAAAATGCCCTTTCATGAGGGGCATATTCTCCCTTGGGCAGGATAGTCCCTTGGTGCCCGCCCAAGGCTAGGTATTGGGCGCTCAACTAGGCATGAGCCTAGCGATCCAGTAATTAAGAGGGCCGCCAGCCTAGGCCCCACTGGCTTGCATTGGGGCTAGGCGCTCGGCGAGCCATTTTTTGGAACATTAACAAGAAGATGACCTCCAAGTGTTTGATGGGGGGCCTCTCTTCCTCTTTCTCTCTCTCTCTCTCTCACACACACACACAAAAAGATACACATGGACCCATATGCTCTTTCTACATGTAACAAGAAGAAAGAGAAGAAGATGGCCTCCAACAGTTCGATACGAACCCCCCCCCCCCACAACCACAAACTCATTCTCTTCCTCTCTACATATAGGTATAAGGAAGAACATGTCCTCCAAGTGTTCGACACCTTTCTCTTAGGCATACACACACACCCATATGCTCTATCTCGGTGACTCTAAATATAAAATAACAAAAGAAGATGACCTTGAAGTGTTTCATGTTAGGCCTTGTGCATACAAATATACACATACACATAATATATATACATGTATACATACAACACAACACACACACACGTTTAGTAATAATTAGGGTAGAGACGAGGAAGTAGTTAAGATTGACGACCAAGAAATACCAAAAAGAGCGCATTGTCGATATCTTGTGTCGATAATCCAAGAAAATGGAGAGATTGAGGAAGATGTTGCGTATAGCATTAGAGCTGGGTAGGCAAAGTGGAGATGTGCAATCGAGAGTTTTATGTGATCATTGCATACTAATGAAGTTGAAGGGGAAGTTCTACAGGACAACTATGAGACCAGCATTGCGATACGGGGTAGAATGTTGGGTGGTCAATAATCAACATACTCATAAGACGAGTGAATCTGAGATGAGGATGTTGAGATGGATGGATGACAGACCAGGATTCGTGTAGTCAACCCCAAATAGTTGGAAAAAAGGCTTTGAAGATGATGATATTACAAAAGTGTACATAATGGGCAAATGTGCCCTTATGGGTTGTATATGTTCATAGCGGGGTTTTAAAAATCGCCGATCCGGAGTAGCGATTCAGATTAGGAATCATCGCAAATCGATATGGTTCCATTGCAAATCGATATGGTTCCCACTTTATATCGAGAATTGGCCGGTTCTGTCACCAATCGGCTGATTCTATCAGAATAGAACCGGCCAATTCTATCTTGAAATAGCTGGCCGGCTCCATACTATTTGACAAAGTTTATTTATATTTGCAATTTTTGAATTTTTTTTGAAAGTTGTGTAATTTTTATTTTTTTAAAAAAGAGGGGCGGTGGCCCACCCCATATTTTATATTTTACTAAATTTTTAAAGTCATTATCTCACCAGCTCATCATTTGCGGGCCTCAACCATTGGCTGACCCTAACCACAATGCGTACGCATGGCTCAGCGAGCGGCTTGCACAAGTGCTTAATGCTGATGCCATGATATGTGAGCCTAAACCTTTTGTAGAGGGTTTTGCTTCTTTAAATCCCCGATGTGGGATGTTTCTCTCGCTTCTTTACTATGGATGAAACAACTTTGGGGTGAATAAATTTTGGGATGAATAGCACTAGTGCATGAGACATTTAAAAAAGAAACAAATAACACTAGTTCATAGGGCACCTTTAGTCCATATGCCCACTTCAAAATTTATTTTCAAGTTGCTCTATCCGTTTTCCTCACTGGAAACATAAATTTGTTTTATTTATTTTTCTAATTTCGTTAAAATGTGAATGCAAATTCACGTTGCCAGATTCTCTATTTCTGTCCGTATTAATTATTGCACCTTAGACCTATTTAGTTAGCAACATATACTTTTTGCTTGTTAAATCTCATGTAGTGGAGATGATTTATTTTTGTAATTGTAAGCATGTGGCTACACTTGGAAATGACTTAAACTAATATGAAATTTGAGGTTGTTTAAAAAAAAAAAAACTGTCCAAAAAAAAAAAATTTGGTATAGCGAAAGTATGTGTACTGAGAAAGCAAAAATGGAGGGACATAGTTTTTTCCATTTTGGTTTTATATTGTTGTAATTGTAAGCATGTGGCTACACTTGCAAATGATTTAAACTAATATGAAATTTGAGGTTGTTAAAAAGAAAAAAAACTAGTCCAAAAAAAAGAAATTTTGGTATAGCGAAAGTATGTGTACTGAGAAAGCAAAAATGGAGGGACATAGCTTTTTCCATTTTGGTTTGATAAACACACGATAGGTCATTGTGAGGGTTGTCTCTCTATTAAATCAAAAGGTCCAAAACTTTTGTACAAGTCCTGTTTTTATTATAAAAATTTGAGTTAGAGAGATCCATCTTATTGCAATGAGTTGCATTGTAAATCTTATTTTGACCAGAAAATGGATGTAATGGATAACAAACACTCAAATAATGCCGGATCTTGCCGATGCATTCGATGCTCCGATCCAGATTGCAGATCCACCAATCCGACACAGTTTTTGGGGTGGCCGATCCGGGTCACCTATCCGTTTTTTTAAACCTTGATCTACAGACACTGGAATAGATTAGCATGTCTATCACAAGATCTAATTAAACTAATTACAAAGTAACCCATGATAAAGGGAGGAAAGAGAGGGTGGGTGATCCAAACAAAATCGGTACCCCAACGAAAACCATGAAAAAGAGAGAGAAGAGGGTTGGGTTTTTGGAAATAGAACAAAAAATTGGTTTGAGGTTCTCTCTCTTTAGATGGAGAGAGAGAGTGAGAAGGGTTTGATGTTCTCTCTCTAGAGAAAGAGAGAGTGAGAAGCTCTTCAAACCCTTATGTCTCTCTATCTATCTCTTACCCATCTTGTCTGTCAGTTTGTTTTTATATTTGAGGGGTACCTATTTTGTTTTGGTCTAAACTCTGTACATTTCAATCACAACCCCAATGTAGAAGATTCCTATGCCCTAAAATCAGTGGACCTCTCCTCAATAATGACTATATGCCTTCAAATGGTCATAACTTCTCGCCTATGACTTCTAACGGGCATTATTGATGCTCTATCGGAAAGCCCTTTTAGACTCTAACGTTTTGTTGCCAAATACCCCCACACTGAAACCATGTACATTTCAATTACCCCATGCAGAAGATCTCGCTGCCCTCAAATCTGTGGATCTCCAAAATGACTTATGTGCTCGCAAGTGGCCATAATTTTGGCTCCTTCAGAAGCTCTTTTAGAGCCCTAGAGTTGTGTCACCATATACCCCTAACCGAAACTTTGTACATTGCAATGCCTACAAAGGATCTTACTACCCTAAAATCTGTGGTCTTCAAGAATGACCTATGTGCCTTCAAACAGCCATAACATTTTGCTCGTGACTTGAAACGGGGCATACTGGTACTCTACGGAAAGCCCATTCAGAGCACTACATTTCTGTTACCAAAGGGGATGTAGTTTTGGTATTTTGATCAAGGTCTCTGACCTAAGTATCAAACACTAGAGATGGGTATGGCTCATTTGAACTTGTAGCACAAAGGGATTGATGCACCTTTTTTTTGCGTTATATGTCCTCCTGGTAGTGTCCAGTGATGTGGCGCATTGCGTGAGATCAGGATCTCATCTTAGGCTCGCTGGGTGGACAAGAAATGTGTATTTTTGGTTTGATTGGATCTTGTGACAGACCTGCTGATTAATTTGCGTTTTGTTGTTCAATCAATTGGAACTGTGGATATGCTATGAGTACTTCTCTATTGTGGTAACTGAGAAATTTTTTATTAATACATGTCTCTTTTGTCAGTTTGGACTTCCTTTTTTCTCTTCTTTCTTCATATCTTCGGTTTTAATGATTTTCATTTGAACTTTGTTGGATCTCTCTCTCCTGGCTGTGGGCATTGCTTATGTCCTTCTCCCTCTTCTTTCTCTACAGTCTCTCTGTCTCCTAGTTGCGGGCATTGTTTTGTTTTGCTAGTTTCTAATGGACATCAATTATCCTGTACAATTATATCAGTTTTATGTGGTGTTATGTGTCTTGGAATGTATCAAGTGGTTTATATGCATAGATTTGCAATTGTAAGCCATCTGGTAACTTATTGTGTTTCTCTTTTCTTTTTCTGCGTGGCTTCGAACTTAACTGCCAATGAGATATTTTCATTTATGGATTCGGTAATATTCTATTGACATAATAATGACTTGGATTGCTTTTTCTGATATTTCAGTGATGGCAAGCTTGATGTTGTAGTTCCTTCTTTTGTTCATTACTTGGAAGTATTGGAGGGTTCAGATGGAGACAAAATGCCAGGTCCAGTGTAATCTTGTTTTTATCTCTCTGTCATGTTCTCGTTGAATTGTCTATTTTGCCCATGAAATGTATCTTTTCTATCTGTTTATTAGTTGGTGAAATCATGCTTAAGATGGAAAGTGGCATTCTCTTGACTGAGATGAGCTTGCTTTAGATTCATGTCCGACAATAATGCCTACCCCACTCTTTTTAATGTAGAATTGATGTTCAATTTTCAGGATGGCCTGCTTTCCACCAATCAACCGTTCATGCCAGTCCTCTTCTTTATGATATTGATAAGGATGGCGTAAGGGAGATTGCTTTAGCTACCTACAATGGTGAAGTTCATTTTTTCAGGTGGGTATTATAGGCATCTCATATGTTTTGTCTTTTTTCTTTTATGTTTGTTCAAGGACCCCCTAACCATAGTTTGAATATGCCATGAGATTTCTGGAACTATGTCTTCGATCCTTGTTGTGCAGGGCCTCTGGCTACCAAATGACAGAAAAATTGGAGATTCCTCGCCGGAAAGTTCGAAAAGATTGGTATGTGGGCTTGCATCCTGATATAGCAGATCGTTCGCAGCCAGATGTCCATGATGAGGCTCTTGTTCAGGATGCGGCCGATATGAAGAAAACATCAAGTAAGTATATTTAGAAAGTCTAAGTATGTCTTTGTGCGCTTTTTCTTTTGTGGGTACAAATAGGTCTTTGATTTGCAGAATCCATCGTACAATAACTCCTTATTGAATTTTCTAATAAACCATTGTACAAATTGAAGTTCATTGATTCACTGCTCTGGAGCCAGGTTATTTTTGAATGGCGTCACTCAACAGTGGTGATTTGTAATGAACATTTCAGACTTTGTGCTTTGCCCACTCCTGAATCTGGCTTAAAACAATGACTTTAGATAGATTTAGATATGACATCCTTTACTGCTTCAATCTTATTTTTATAGGGATGAACACTTTGCTTATGCACAATTTTTCCTAGCACAAAGTAGCATCAGATCAAGCAACTTCAGCTTTGAAGTAATTACTTTTGTATTGCATGAAATGTATTATGTAGTAGCAATTTGACTTAGTACGTCTATGTGTTTAGGATATGAACAGAAGCTCAAATGTTCCTTGACTCTATAATCTATATTCTTAATGCTCTATATATTTGAAGTAGTCCCTGATTTGATGGTTTTGATGGTGGGGACTCTGCAGAACTTTTATTTGTTACTTGTATGAAAATCATCTGTTTAATTACCATCTCATTTATTCTGGTTTTGATTTCAGATATGAATGAAAGCATGGGTGCTTCAAACGTCACCAGCAAGTCTTCCACAAACAAGTCTGATACCTCAAAAGAAGGGCAACAAAATGCCCCTTCAACAGAACAGAATCATATAGATAATAAGACAATGAATCCAGTCTCTACGGGCACCATTTCTTTAAACACTAGCATATCAGAACATGCAACACATTCCCAGAGGCGTCTCCTTCAAGTTTCAGAATCTAAAGGTTTTCAGGAGGGTGGTTCTGGGTCTAACATTAATGCCGGTGAGAATAATGGTGGAAATGAAGCAACTGTGGAAAATGATGAGACTTTGGAGGATGATGCTGATGCATCATTTGATTTATTCCGAGATGGAGAAGAGGAGCTAGCTGATGAGTACAATTATGATTACGATGATTATGTTGATGAGACTATGTGGGGCGATGAGGACTGGACAGAAGGAAAACATGAAAAGATAGAGGATTTTGTGAATATTGACTCACACATCCTTTGTACTCCAGTAAGTGTGAAATCAAAATTTTCTGGTTTTGATTTTTGTCCCTCCAATTTTATGGAAGGTGTAGATGGTTCTGGACAATGTATTTCACAAATTCATGAGTAGCACATTCTCGTTCTTCAGGTCATTGCAGATATCGACAATGATGGCGTGTCAGAAATGGTTGTTGCAGTATCGTACTTTTTTGATCACGAGTAGGTTTTCTCTTTTATGATTTTACATTTAGCTTTTCTTTCTTTCCTCTTTTCATTTTATTGTTATGTCCTTTAGCAATGGGTCTGTACTGGATTACACTGTTATTGGTTAACTGTTAGTTTGTAGCTTTCCTTTTCTCTGCTCGATCATTTATGTGATGTCTAAGATTCCTATGTCAGGTAGTGGTGCTAATATGATTCTGTCTTAGAAGATTTTCCAGATGTGATCATTATCGTCTGTTCTACTTCATGAGCCGGCTGGCCTGTGCCAAGTATAGGCTGGATGGTTCAGATTCAATCTGAGCACATCCAACAGCCGGCATGTATTGTCACTTTTTCATTTATTAATTTCTTTCCCATGATATCATTCTGAGCTGAAATCTTAAAGAGAGGTGTGCTAGACATAAGCACACAAGAAAAATAAAAAAAAGTACACGCAAAAAATAAAATGGCGAAATTTATTACAGGCTTGCTCAAATTCTTTCGACGATGTGAACTTAATGAAAATGTTGGGATTTCGATTTCTGTGAGAACTCCTGCGTTGAATGTTTTGTTCCTTGAAAACTTTACCAGATCAAGTTGAATCATCTTCTAGTCCTGTCATTATGTTTGTTGGTGATATATTTTTGGAATGTAGTATAGCCTGGGGGTTTGAAGAAAATATGTGTGTGATATATGTCCAATGGCCTTTGGTCCAGTGGTAAGTCACTGATAGCATAAGCAGTGTAAAGGGTTCAAGCCTTTGTGTTTGTCCCCAAAAGAACTGTGGTGACCTACCCCGTTGTTCTGCACATGGCACTCAATTCAATCAGATTTGTTGGCTTCCTTGTTGATCATGATGTCTTTGGCTAGTGCAGTGCACTTTTTTCCTTGATAAAGTAGATTTAGGCTTATTAAGATGTTGATATACTTGTCGTTTATGATTATGATAAATCTGACATTTACATTGTTTTTTTTTTAACTTTATTAAGTGGAACGATTGTGGCCTAACTCATGCCATGGTTACTTGCTGGCTGATAAGTTGACAGGTACTACGACAATCCGGATCATCTGGCAGAATTGGGTGGTATAAATATAGGCAAATATGTTGCTGGTGGCATTGTTGTTTTCAATCTTGATACAAAGCAAGTCAAGTGGTTCGCACCGCTAGATTTAAGCACAGATACTGGAAAATTCCGGGCGTATATTTATTCTTCTCCTACTGTGGTTGATTTGGATGGAGATGGAAACTTGGACATTATTGTGGGGACTTCTTTTGGCTTGGTCTATGTTCTAGACCATCATGGTAATTTGCTGATTGAAATTTTTTGGAATCAACACAATTTATTGTGCATTGTTATTTTTACAGTTGGACTATATTTTGATTTTGAGAAGATCACTATCCCTTCAATTTCTGTTATTTAAATCTCCTGTTATAACATTTGTACCCGTTATACCTTTTTCTAAAATTGTTTTTCCAAAACACTTTTTTTGGATTTTCAAAATCTGTAAACTAACCCAATTTTGGACTTTCAAAATCCGAAAATTTTGATTTGGCTTTGTTCCCCAAAAACCCTTATCTCCCTCTCTCTCTCTCTCTCTCTCTCTCTCTCTCTCCTCTCTCTCT